TTTTTTTTTTTTTTTTTTTAGTGCAAATGGACTAAATCTGTTCATTAGAGGAAATGTCCCTTTGTGCCAAATCAAACTGAGGATGCTGCAAACAAAATATTACAATATGAAAMCTATATATTTAAAATCAGACTATTTTATATATACTGTATATAAATTTTYTTCACAAAATGCTTGGATGAAGGAGAAACCTGATGGATGAAGGAGGACAGCAGCAGCCCCTCCAGTTTTGACAGCAGTGTGACGTTTCAGGGAAGGTGTTATATGATGTTTTCAAACTGTCAGGTTTTGTCATCACCTCCTGTTTAGGCAGCCATCTCTGCTCCTCTGCCTGTGAGGAGGAGGAGGAGGAGAGCATGAAACAAAACAAGATGTCTGATAAAATGTTGAAGGCAGCCACAGCTGCTGACTAAAACTCCAACATCAGTTTGATAAGAATCTAAACTATAAGACGTGAAACAAAAAGAAAACCAAGAGGACTACTTGTTGTGGCCACCGTGGCAACCATACACCTGTGTCTGTCRCTCCCTGATAACCAACCTGAAACAGGCAGAAACAAGACTGAAAAGTAGGCCTCATACAGTCACTGTAAGTCCAAAATTAAAAACTCTTAAACCACGAGCAACAGAAAGTTCTTCTGGTCAAATTTTTTATATTTCTACATTTATTGCAAAAAATATGATAAATTAGAAAGTTCATAAATGAAGTCATGGAAGCTTGAATAAGGGAAACGCTGGGTGATAGAAGACAAAACACATTTTGATGCATTATTTGTATATTTATCAAAATGAGCTGTTAATTTACAAATTCTTAAAAAGTAGTTTTAGATTTTTTTTAGGATGCTCAGTGACATCTGTTATTGAATGTTTTAGGAACAATTTTCCAAAATCATAAAACTTAATTTGATTGTATAAAAAAAAAAACGTAAAACACACCAAAGTGTCAGTTTAGATGTATAAAGTCCAACTTTCTGTAACTTGTACCAGCTTTTACTGATGCTGCTGACATTACCAGTGTCTGAGTTCTGAAGGTCCAAACAGGGTTGGCTTTTCTCATTTGTTTCACCAAAATCCCACTGATGRCCATTTGAATTTTCTGTTTTTATTTTTGCAAATTGTGTTTACCTTGTGTGACGTACTGTTGCTAAAAGTCAGGACATTCTCTACACAAAGGTGCCTCAGTGCTGACCCCTTTTTAAAAAGTAAACATATTTCAGTCGCCTGAAGATAAATCTTTAGATTCTTTAGCAAATGTTCGTGGTTTTAGTTGCAGCTGTGTTGCACCTTTCGGGCTTTCCCTGCAGTCAGACTAGAAGTGACAGTCTTTGTAAAGGTCACCGTCTTCGTGACCTTCCATGTCTCTGCTGTAGCTCTCAGCCTCCTTCACCTCCCCCCTCAGAGGCACAGCGGTGGGCACCTTGTAGCATTTTCTAGGAGACGAGTCGCTGCATGAAGCTCAGCCGGGTCACGTCAGAGACGGTGCACCAAGGTCATCTGCTGGAGGAGGAGCACTGTGGAACCACGGGGATAAGGAGAGTGTTGCTTCTGAAACGACTTACAGCGGGTAAAATAAGTATTGAACACGTCACCATTTTTCTCAGTAAATATATTACTAGAGGTGCTAATGACATGAAATTTTCACCAGATGTCGGTAAC